TCCATCCCCCACTGAAGTATCCATCTTATATAAAAACTGCTGTTTGAAATTTTAACCCTGATAGTATGGCTTCTGTCTTAAATAATAAGGAAAGTAAGACTACTCCCATTCCAGAGAGGCGGTAAACTGTGCCCCAGACAGAGCTGTCATTGCTGACGCCAGGCCAGGCCTGGAGATATGGTCTCATGGCCCCTTCCCAGCACGCAGGCCTTCTTTCTCAAGGCCCGGGAGTCTCATTCCAAATTTGGGAGACAAAGGACTGGAAAAAGTATAAATAAAGAAAGTTTCCTCCATATTGGGGGCCCAGAATTTGAAAGACATTTTTCTCTGGGCCTGCACAGAATTTAATAATAAAATGTAACCCCTGTAGTCGGCACTGCTGTTCAGCCCTTGCTTCGGGAGGGTGCTGTAACTGTGGTCGCTGGCCAGCTCAATAAAGGCTCCTAAATCTTGATCTGAGTCCCTGGTGGTGGTCTCCACAGGTCGCCCCATTACACCACCCCGGGCCGTAGCTGATAGAACGTGCCCACCTTCACGGAACAATGGAGCGTGAACATACCTTCCAGGGCAGGCAGGAGGCGCTGTTTGGGTGGTTCCATCCAAATCTCTATTTCAGAGCAGGGTCAGCATTCCATTTGTTCAGGGGCTGTTGCTCTTTGTGTGTATGGGGGGCGGGGGGGGGCAGGGAGGGGAGCCCAGACAAACCGTGCTTGGATTTAGGAGGGACTGCAGTTTGGTGACAGTAAAGGGCCCCCATTAACCTCAGACTGTCTGACGGCACAGAACCCCGGCTCCTGGGTTTGGCTGTGCCAGGGACCGAGGTGCTTCTCTGCCAGCAAAGCCGGCTGGTCTGTGAGAAGCCCCATCAGCAGCCCTCGGCTGAGCCCACCCCATGAACGGGTCTACCCCCCGGCGCCCGGCGCTTCTCCAGGAAAGAGGCGAGGCCCGGGGGGAAGAGGGATAAGGCTCAAACCACCATCAGGCGCATATTTCTTTAATCATTGTTATTTACAGTTGACCATTATCAGACTTACAGAGAATAAATAAAGAAAAGAAAATATACAATTGGTATCTCGTTCTTTTTCTAATACAGAGAATTCTTACATGCTCTATTTTGGAATGACTACAATAGTTTTAAGCAGAAATTAAGTCCGTTTTCTCTTTACCCCTTGACAAGCCACATGGCCCTCCAAAGTCCGCAGAGCAGCCCAGGTGTGCCCTCCCCCAGGAAGCCTGCTCCTCGCTGGACGGATGGACGGACAGACAGACAACAGGGGAGCGGGATGGGCGGCGTGGATAGCGAAGGGCGGACGTGAGCAGCTAGACTGCACACTCGGTGTGTTTGTAGGAATGCTCACACCTTCCGTTAGTTCCCAGCCTGTTTTCAAGAAAACAAGTTTTCACTCGGAGTGACTGCCTACCCCACGGTGCCTTCCCTCAAACCTCGCAACCCCCCCTGTGCTGGCACCTGCGGGTCCCGGATGCCCGCGAGCTCGGCGAGCTCGGGCTGACGGGTCCTGCCCCTTTAGAGTCCTGGAGGTTATTGACCAGACATCGGCAAGACTTGTTTCCGAAGGGCTGACTTTGGGGCCAGAGTCTGGTGCCTGCTCTGGACGGGGTGCCTTATACAGAACGACCTTGAAATGCTGTCCAAAGACCTCAAAGAATAAGGCACACACAGGACACCTCCGATGGGGGCGGTTCTCCACCAGTAAGCTCTGGCACTTTCTACTCTCTCCTCAAGTGAAAAGAAACCCCCTATCACAGCAGAGCAATTCTCCCCAACTCATCACAGTCATGCAGTTTGACAAGTTTCTGTTTCTATATTTGATTCATTCAAAAACAACACTCAGTAAGCATGTATGGGGTGCCCAGCAGGTGAGTCTGGGCCAGGAACTTTACAGGATATGGGACGCAGTGATAAACAAGTTACAATCTGGTGAGTCCTAAACAGGGCACTTCAGACACCACCACAAACCTCGCAGCTGGGAGCCACAGAGCTGGAGCCCCAATACCAGCCACCCCTTCCCCTCCCCCCTGAAATTAGTATTTAATTTGGTCTAGTGTGGTTTATTTCATTTCAGAACAGATATTTAGGCAAAGGAAACCTCTACTATTCTGAAAATAGTTTATCACATTTAGGGTCTATACCACTGTATTCTACTCCTCCCACAAGGTGCCCTGGGGCCGTAACTCGGTGCCACCTACTCCTTGACCAAAACACTGGTTCCCTCTGGAGTGCTCTCTTTGCCACAATTACGATCCTTCCTTGCTGTAGAAACAGCAGGAACCACCTGGATTTCCCTTCCTACCTGACTAGAGGCCCAATGCATGAAATTCATGCAAGAGTAGACCTTCCTTCTCCCGGCTGCCGGCACCCGCTTCCCTCTGGCACCTGGGACCCAGGCTTCCCTCACAGCCCTGGCTTCGTCCAGAAGGAAAGACATCCGGTCTAATTAGCATATTACACTTTTATTATTATAGATTCTCTAGCCAGCAAGTCATGTCAGGTCTTCACTGTTCTCTGCATTGCCCGATTCTTCCAAGTTGTTCTTGATGGTTCCAGATGGTAAACAGCCAAGCAAAGTCAGCAGGTGCGCGGCCCGGGCAGGATAATGCTCGTTGATAAAGGAACAAGTGAGTTCCTCACATTCTCTTGAAGAGTTTGTACATTTGTATCCAGATGTGTCTTTCTCGAGGCCTCCGAGCAAGGCCAGGTTACAAACCAGCAAGGGTTAAACCCATCCAGAACAAATCAGTGCAGGTGAAAAGCTGGTGGAATCTGAGTGTGATCTGTGGTTGCGCTAATAACATTAGACCAATGTCAGTTTTCTGGCTTTGGAAAAGCGTGATGGTTCCGTAAGATGTTATCAGTGGGAAAGCCTGGTGTTAGGGGGAGGCCACTCTGTACTAGTTTTGCAACTTCTTGCCAGTTTTAGAATGTTTTGAAATAAGTAGTTTTAGAAACAATTGCCTACCAAGCAGTGCAGGTGATTGTAGCAGAGAACTCAAAATGCCAGCAATCCAGTCCTCATTAACCGTTCCGGCTTCTTCCCGTGTTGGGAAGCATTCCAAAAGACATTCATCTGCTTCGTAAAAATGTTAAATTTCTGTTCAGGAGGACTTCGCAACATACACCAGGATCTGTAACTCCCAGAAGCATTCAGGGACCTGCCATTTGCTAGGCCACAGGTCAGAGGTCAGAGGTCTCACAGAAAAGGCGAAGAGGGCAGGACTACCCTAAATTCAACTTAGGATCGGGGACTTAGCAGTCCTATTTGAAGAATAATTTAAGGCTTAACTATAATTTTCTTCACTTTTTTTTATAGCTTTGGGGAAAGCAGATGCTACTCTTCCCTCTTCTCTTTTCTCCTTTGACACAAAATACATGATTGAGCTCCACTTCGTGCGGAAGCCGGGATGGAGTGAGAACGACACAGGGCTTCCACCCGCACCCACCTCTGCGTGGGTGTCAAATGAGGCTGAGTCGACCGATCTCGAGCCTAATGCTTCCCTGTTTCCGTGGCCCTTCTGGGCCCAGCAGTGACCCCTTAACAGAAGCAAGAGGTGGGACGCAAAGCCGGTTGGTGGTCTGCAAACTCCCCAGGCCCAGGTCTGCATCCCAGGCAGCTCTTGGGAACCAGGTCCACGGCGGGCAGAGCCGATGGCTTCGCACCTGAGGATACAGGCGCCCAGACCTCCGCCACCGGCTTCCTTGGGAATGAAAGGGCCTCCCTGCCGGGCACCGTGGGCTGCGCCCACGAGGAACTTCTCTCTCAGAGGCTCTGCAAAGCTCCCTTCAGTTCACGCTGCCCCTGACGTCTCCTTTTTCATCATCCAGAATTCCTTCTCTCCACACATATCCTCCTTTCATCTTCACGACACTTAACTTTGTCTGCCCTGACTCGTTCCGTCTCCAGAACAGAGTCTCACCCTCGCCGCAGTCTGTCTGGCTCCCGACCCTTCGCAGACACCTATGCGAGGTCCGCTCTCCTTCCTGCGGCCTTTTCCTGCCACCGGCCTCCGCTCAGCCACACGCACATTCGTTCACCATCTGCCCCCACTCCGTCCTGTGCTCCTCACACCTCGGGCACCTGCAGGCGATCCTGCCCCCGCGCTGACACCACAGCCCCCTCCGGCCTCCAGGCCAGTCCTTTCTGAGCAGGTGAGGCTGGGCCGGGCACCCAGGGCGGGGCCTAGCTCTCAGCACACTGACCCGCCTACACAGACATTCCTATCTGACTCCAAAACCACCACCTGGACGGAAAACGTTCCATATGCAGAATAAAGGTGACGTTTAGAAAGGCTAACAGGACGCAATGATGGTCTGCCAGCCACCTGGAGCCGATGACCTCTCTTGCCCACGGCCGGGGAACAGAGACACCCCACATTCCTTCTAAATAGGACTGCTCTCTGCGGGGTCATGAAATGCAGGGGCTGAGGCGGGATGTGGGAAAGAAGCAAGAGAAGAAAAGTTAGGCGCAGGACGGGAGAAATGCCGCCCTCCTGCCCCCAGCAGTCCTGGCAGGGCCGGCTGGGCCCCGCTGGGGTCGTGCTCAAGTCCCTTGAATTCTAGGGAAATGTGATGACTGATCTTATCTGTTCGCCCTACGGGCCCTGTGGTGCCAGGTTAGCGTTATTCGGTGTCTGAGAGCTGCTTCCAGACGAGATTAGCTGTGGGTTGTTGGACCGAGGAAGGCAGAGGCCTGTCCAGTGTGCGGGCCGCACCCACTCTGATGAGGACTCGGATGGAAGGAAAGGAGTCCACTCCGCCTGAAGCTGAGCTGACTCCTCAGCCTCCTCCCTGGACTGGCCCCCGGTGGTCTATCCTCGGAGGCGACAACAGTCTCCCGGGTCTCTTGCTTGGCCCTACAAATGGTGCCATGAGCCGATTCCTTATAAGAATCAGAAACGTGTGTGCATCTCCTATCAGCTGTTTCTCCGGGGACTCTCAATAGGACGTGACGCTACACGGACCTTGTGAGCAGAGAGGGGCAAGTCCCAAGGGGGAAGCGAGCGTGTTCGGCCCTGCAGGTGTCTGACAGGCGTGGGAGCGCACACGTGGCGGTGTTACTAGTGCGGCTGGAGCAACTTCCCTGACAACCTCCTGCCGACCACAGTTCTCGGGGCAGGAGGTGAGCAGGTTCCCAGCGAGACTGGACACATGGGACTGGGAGCCTCGCGGCCACCGCTGCAGCGCGCTCAGCTCACAGACCAGGAGACAGTGCAGGCGGCAGACTTGTCCAAGATGCCACAGCTGCTCAAAGCAGAAACGGGTCAAGCCCCCCAAGCCACTGTCCTGACTCCCCGCCTGCGATCCTCCAGTTCATCGAGGGAGAGACTGGAGACCGAGTCCCAGGACATGACGGGAAGGGCGTTTGCTGGGGAAGGAGAGGCCCTGCCAGTGCCCTGGGAAGCAGGGGGGTGGGGGGGGGCATCTGCCTTGGCCTGGAGCAAGGCTGGGGGCTGAGCAGGGACGCAAGGGCATCAGAAGCAGGCCCAGGGGTCACGCTGCTCCTGAGCCTGAGCTGTGTCCTCAGCCGCCTTCTCTTGTGTCCCCTTAGTGGAAATTGGGGTTCCCTTCACTGCTGTCCCCTGACTCTGGGGGTGTGGGGGTAGGGAGCTCGGGAGCCATTCTGAGGGACTCTGATTTGACGGGTACCTGTCCCCACAGGGCGGGAAGCCAGGCTCCCTCTTTCTCTCCGTCACACGTGGCCTTGCAGAGGGTCACCCAGCACCGTCCACACATCACTGCTCTGGGGTCCACAGCTACGTCTGCCTCCCTCGCTCCTCAGCCCACTCATCCTGCGTGCCCCTGGCAAAGGGGGGCGGTGCTCCCCTCGCTGGTCGCAGGCAGCCCCTAGGAACCCCCGGAGCAGGTGCTCCCCTACCGCACACGCCTGAGGAAGCCCGCCCACCATTTATTAAAACAGTTGGCAGCTTTAGAGAAGATGAACCAAAGGGCCGAGGTGAAGCTATGGAAACAGCGGTTTTATGGATTCAGAAGCGGCCTCGCTGAGACACACCCGGCCGTGTGAGACGGGCTGTCCGCGGGCTTGTTTGCAACGACAGCCCTTCCTACCTCCACACAATACCATCCCTTCCTACGCAGTCTCTGCTCCTAGGCACAGAGGCCTCACCCTGAGCCCTGCCCTCGAATGAACAAAACACTCGTTCCCGAGCGCGGCGCGTTTTCAAACAGGTGACAGCCACCTGGACCCGAGGGGACGCACAGCGCGAGGGCCGCGCCCAGAGGCCCAGTAGGAAGCGAACCCTCTGGCGAGTGCGAGGCGCCACTGGCCGTGCGCTTTCCCCAGCCTGATCTCTGGGTTCCTAAGACATTAGTATTCAAGGTTTTACTTCTGAAACTATTTTTAAAGGCAACATAAAAAAATATTGTAGAACCTGCACATTTATAGACATAAGCATATTTAGCCTTTATAAATTATCTAAATTATCTAGCTTTGTTCTCAACACTGGTACATCAATGAAGGTTTCTTTACTGGATTTTACCTGCCCTAGCATTTTTTTTTCTTTTTTAGTTCTTTAATGTAAAAAAAAGTATATATGGGTCAGGGGTGGACAGGGGGGCGGAGCGGTGGGAAACGAGGGGTGGGAGGAAAGGGACAGCCTG